ATTACTCACATATAAATTATATTACCTTTTATGCTTGTTTCAAAACAGATTCAGTATTTGTTTTATAATCTTTACTGCTTATGTTCAAATAATGCAGAATGTGTGTGTGTATAATTACTGAACATCATAGGCTCTAACTAATGAGGAATGTATTCCACTTTAATTACCTTCTAAGGTAGTATCATTCTTTCGTGTCTGCTATGCACATTGTGTTCATAGTTGCTTCATTGAAAACATGCCCAGATATGTCTGTTCATCATTACTCTGCTTCAGGTCTGAGAGTATGTTTCTTAAATCCTGTTTAAAGAGCTGTCATTTATAAGACAGAGCCCCTGTGGTGACTTGAGAGTGGTCTGTGCTAGGAAGAATTGTGCCCTCAGCCAAGTGCCCAGCCTCTGAGGTCAGCTCAGTGCTCTTGCCCTATTGCCTGTCTTCCTACCACTGCCTTCACTCATCCCTGTCCTTACCTCCCGGAGTAACCTGGCCATGGCATTCATCAGTCTGGAATGAATGCGTCAGTGTGACAGAGCTTGTCGTTATTCTTACTCCCAATTCTGAGAAACCATTTTGTTTTTACCCTACACAACTTTTGACTACTCTTGGTACATGGTGGTATCTTTAAATTGAACCCTATACTATGTATTTAAACTCTGTCTATACAAAATGTGGACTTCTAATTGCATGATTGCAAGAAATGCTATTTCTGTTATAAGCCATGCTATACAAAATGTAAGTTGTGGTTTGGTAGCAAGGTGCTATTGTTTTTGAAGTTAGGTTATCCTGAGTTATTTTTTTTTTAAAAAGAGTTATTTATTTATGCATACAAGAACTGGGGTGTAGGCCAGAGGTGAGAGGATGAAAGAATTCACCAGAGACATAGGTGGGGAGCAGAAAAGGCAGACTGACTGAAATACACTGCTGAGGGGAGCAGAAGGAGAGACAGAAGAGGTCACTGCACCATGTGGGTAGCTCCCTGGCCAGCCAGGGATCGAACTTGTGCTGCAGAGGCTTCAGATAACTTCACAGTGCTGTGCTTGCACCACAAAGGAGGCCCATATCCCTAGTTAAACTTACGTGAACAGAATAACTTTGAGTCATAAGAAAGAGCTATCTCATCTGACTGCAGAAGCATTTCCTAATGTTCATGTTGCTGGTAGATGGTACAGGCATGCACTGGCATACTTCCTTACCTTTTGTTCCACAAAGGAAAGAAGGCATGGGGATGGCAGGAGACCATTCGGTGCTTGAGCCGGTATGTGAAGAGCCTTGAGCTTGATGCATGCTCTGACTGGGTGGCTGGAGTCAAGCAGGAATCTGTAATCTAATCATGTCTAATCATGACCTTGGATCAGAGTCTTCCTGCACCCACTACCATGTGAGGGTTCTAGTGCTGTGTGTAGGCTGCTTAAATGATTCAGAAAAAAAATTATCACAACCCAGATGTCCAATGGACCCTAATTATTGTGACCCCAGCCGTGTGTCAAGGCCACAGCACACACTGGGATCGTGGACTGCATTATCCAGCCAGCCCCTGGCTGTTCTCTCCCATTTCAGACAGGAAGGGTCCAGCAAATTTTCACAAAGGAACTGGAGCAGAGGCCACTCTCTGGAAGTCTGGGCATACTCACTCAATTATACTGTGCTGGGGCCATTGAGCAGAGCCTTGGGTGGCAACGGTGGGTTCCTAGAGCTATCCCCCAAGATGAGGTGATACTGAGCTGATGTGGCTGCATCTTCCTTGTTGTGTTCACATAGATGCTATGGTATTTTATGGCAGTGGTTTTTAATTTTGCAACATTTCCTATACCATCTGAGTGCCTTGTGAAACACAGGCAGGGGATAAGGTGATGCTTAATGGGGGAAAGTGAACAGCTCACTGGCTTTAGCAACAAAGATTGTTCCCCAGAGGAGTATGTGGAAGCTCTGGAGCTGCATCAAAAACAAATAGGAGTTTACCAAATGATGATTTTTTTTTCCAGACACACAGAATGTGTGAGACATAGAAAAGCAGATGCATGGTGAATGCAGAAAGCTGGTGTGATTGATCTTGGAGATGACATGACATTATTTGATTGGTGCTGGACTGGAGACTGAAGCTTGGTCAGTGATAAGGGTCAGCTACCCAGTAGTGGCAGAGGGACCCACAAGGTAGTCTGTGAATTAGGATTATGACCCTTAGCCCTAGGACCTGAGCTTGAGACTGGAGAGTTCTGATATGTGACTCCCATTCTGGGCAGGGGCTCTGGGACCTTGCAACTGCCAGGCACCTTGAGCAGCCTGAGGACATTTTCTCAGGGAGAACTGACAGTGGATATTGGATATATTGTCGAGGGAACTGACACAGACTTGTGGTCTGCTTTTACAGGCTGGAAATTGAGGAAATACTGAGCCTCAGATGCCAGCCTCAGTGCAAGCATAGCAGGTAATGGGAAGTTGAGTGAGGTCTAAGAGGATAAACAAATCTTAGCCACAACCTTGACTATTTAAGTGAACAAATCTCCAAATAGTTGCATAAGATTTGTAAATATTGAGTAATAGTATAACTCAATGTCAAATTTTTAATAAAGCTGAAAAACCTTTAAGAAAATTACCACCCAGATCCTGGGCATCCCTTTGAACAGTGCAGGGATGCAGTGATGTGTGAGGCCCAGCAGCAAGAAGGAGGGTGTCATGTCCAGGTCAGTGATCTGTTGCTTGCCAGGATGTGCTCCCTGTGCGACAGCTGCCCTTGAGAACCTGAAGTCTTTCTGACTTGCAACTGCACATTGCACATCTGTTGTTTTCCTGGAGCCATTTCTGGGGACAGGACAGAGGGCCATTCCAGACTTTTATCAATTTCCAAGCTAACTGGTGCTGTTAACTGCTTCCCTGCAGGACAGCCTAGGGCAAAGTGGTACCAGGCCTTGTCCCTTTCTTTAGGACAGATCCTGGATTCTTGACCCTCTTGCTCCTTTCCCCTCGAGAGGGGACAGTTCTCACCTCTTCTGGGGTCAGGCGCCTGGTGAACCATTTAATCCACAGTTTCTGGGCTTAGGGATGATCCCCAGAGCCTTCTCACTAAAGATTTCTCATTTGCAGTGAACCAAATGTCTGACAACTCAAATCTCAACTTTTAAAATTTCAAAACCTTTTCTCATCCTGCTTACTATAAGTAAATCTACCCTTGACACAGGATGCTACAAGTTGGAATGGTATTGATGGAAGAGAAAGAAATGAGGAGAGAAGCAACAAGAAGCAAGTTTCATTATGGTAGCAAGAAAACCTTATTGTGACGAAGACACTCCAGAAATGTAACTTTATATGTTGTAAAATTGATTTTAATTTCTAGGGTTGTATTGCACACCAGGAAAAATTTTTTTCCTGGGCTACTCTAAAGATTTTCAGTCTTTCCTTTGTTCATACATCTAAGTCCTGACTCCCAGCCAGGTCCACTGGGGTGCACTGCCTAAAGAAAAAGATGCCTTGAAAAAAATATGGAACTTTTGTTTCATGAAATAACCAAACCATTCATAGGAGAGTTTAGTGATCTTTTTTTTTTTTTTTTTTGCCTTTTTTAAACAAAGGAAACACCTCTGAGGATTTATTGCTTTCTTTACCTTTCAAGTAATGGTTCTATCATGGGTGTAGAGAACAAATAAATCAACTGGGGCCTCCCTGCACAGCAAACTCAGTTTGACAGTCCTTTCTCCATTGTGTTCGAAAGCACCTATTTCCATCTCATAGCTTTTTTGTCTTTTAAAGATTTATTTTTATTTATTTATGCATACAAGAACTAGGGTGTAGGCCAGAGGTGCAGGGGGTAAGAGGATTCACCAGAAGAGTGGGGAGCAGAACAGGCGGATCTACTGAAATACACTGTTGAGGGGAGCAGCGGTCAGAAGAGGTCTGCTGCGCCATGTGGGTTAGCTCCCTGGTTGGGATTGATCTCAGGCTATGGAGGTGATAGTGCTGAGCCTAACCCCTGAGCCACCAGGGAGGTCCCTCCATCTCATAGCTTTTGTATCTGGTTGCTGAGTTTGCATATGTGGTTTCCACTTTGCTTTGAGTCATTGCAGGTGAAAAAAAAAAAAAACAAACAAAAAACAAAAAACAAAAACATAATTATCCATACCATGCCTTGCATAAACCACTATCCACTATGTAGCATTCACTTGGCAGTGTATAACATTTCCAGGCATAGCTGTTGCACTTGAATGAGATAGTCCATAAAGATAGAATTCAAATCAGTGCCTATAAGTACAGAGAGGCAGATTGAAGCCCAGTGTCTAGAACTTCCTACCACTGGGTAGTGAAAGGGAATGACTATAGAAGGCTTTGGAGGAAAATGAAACCTCTACCCACTTTGGAGTCAAGAGCTTGGCTCTCATGAAAAGTCATGAGAGCCAATGGCTAATTGCCTCTGGATCTCAGTTTCCTCCTACCAAATGAGCCAATAATTGTATATATATTTTAAAGTTGAGTGAGAGTTGTAGTGAGAGTTTAATGAGTTTATATTCAGACCCAGATCCTGGCTAGTTGCTTGGCTTTGAAGAAGAATCTCAGTGTCTCCTGTCTTCACTCCTGCCACTTCTTTTCCTTTTCTGGCATCTTCTTAAATTTAAAGTTGGCATTTGACAAGCTCGTAGGCTGGCACTTGACAGGGCAATGGAAAAGAGATTCACCTGAATGATGAATGGTTGGAGAAGAATTCAATATGATTTTGTTTAAATAAACAAAAACAGTTGCTCAAAACAAAACTTTTAAACAAAGAATTAATAAAAAAAAAATAGAAGCTTTGGTTGTTGCTGAGAAGAGCTAGAGCCTTTAGTCTAACTTGTGTTTATGTCCCTAGGGAACCAATTCAACCTGGGGAGTCCTGCATCCACACTTTGAGAACCACTGGTCTAGATAATGTTTTTACCAATTCTAAAACAGATGTTTTCACAGAAGATTTTGGGGAAGAAAAACATCAACTGGAATGATAAGAATGGCAAGACCCTGACCATGGCCTTGTGTTTCAGGTGTCTCCATGTGAGAGGTGTCGCTGTGAAGCCAATGGAGAAGTACTGTGCACAGTGTCTGCCTGTCCTCAGACTGAGTGTGTGGACCCGGTGTATGAACCTGACCAGTGTTGCCCCATCTGTAAAAATGGTAGGTGACAAGTGAATTGACAATGGGATGCACCACCCTATGCCCCACCATCTCACTGCTTCCTTCATTGTAGTAGATGAAATACATTTGTATATGTGAATATATATAGGCCCACACATATGGGTGTGCCCACACATATATATAGGCCCACACATGCATGGGTGTGGCCTCTAGGCCCCAGGGTACCGTTGGGAGCTGTCTGAAGTAAGGTGTTCTCTCTTATGGTGTCAACCTCTATGAAATAGATGTTAAGAAATTCTTTGAGAAGAAATTCAATTTCCACCACTGAAGAGAGTCACTTATTTTAATTTAACTTTGTTGGTTCTTGAAAAGCAATTTCTTTCGTTCCAAGACAAATCAAACATGCTGGTTGGGCTCATTTACTTTTCATTACTAAGTGAATTAAAGTTGAAATATAATTGAAAATTTTCATAAGTAAATTAGGCAGAAGGAGAACCTCTTCTTATTTCTAGTGAAAGCCTTAATAGATCAAGAGCCCTTCCTGCTATGTGAAAAAGAAATGGCAGGATGTCCTTGATCATTATTTATAAAGAGAGAATGTTAACTTATCTTAAATAATTAAACAACTTGGTTCTTAAGGCAGCAGGCACTGTTCTAGGTATAACTCTTTAAAAGGGTATTTGACAAGACTACATTCCCAAGGAGAATGGGCTTGAGAATTATGGTTCCAGAGGCAAATTTTACAAAGTATTTTTGCATAGTTTAGAAGAGAGCTGACTCTGGAGGAAGGATCACATTGTTGCCCATCTCAGTGTCTTCCCTGGCTGGAGGGACTGGGTTTTCTCTGCATGATACAAAGAATGGTGCTTGGACTCATGGTGGAAGCAAACATTTGATCAAAAATGAAAACAAGGAATGGGCTAACTTGTGAGGTTTTCAGCTTATCAATGGTGGGGTGACTGGGCCAAACTCTGTAGTCATGTGGTGTGAGCTTTGTGAGCTGTGCATGACTGCATATTATTATTATTATTATTATTATTATTAATATTATTATATCTGAGATAATTCTGAGATTCTGCAGTCATATCAATCAAAATTGTATGGGCTGTGACACCACAGCCACATTCACCACTATAGTCAATACTCAGATTTCACCATAAATTGTAGAACTCTGGAGACAAATAAATGGAAGAGTAAACAAAATTTCTGTGTAATAAGGGTAATCTTGAAAGAAAAAAGTCACTATATTAGCTCTGAAAAGGGTAAGTGAAACATTGTAGAGATATGTTTTTTACAGTCCTCTGAATGTAAGTGAACAGTGTGGAAAGATATTACAGAGTTTACTTTAGAGTTATCCTTCTCTTATGTTTATGAATTGTGAAGTATGGGAACCATGAGACTGAGAATAGGGGGACCTTTGAGTATGGAGTAAGATCTTTAAAAATTAAGGTGATAACTCTAGCTATGAGGTGGAGGGAAATAAATCCAGTTTAGTTTACTGTTGTCAGGACTAATGGGAGGAAAAGGACATGTGTGTTTGGATAGGAGAAACAAATGGAGAGACTGCGTGTGGAGTGAGTAATTCTGGTGAGGAATGGAGCATGTGCCTGTGGTTTGTTAGGAGATTTGATGGCTGACATCTGGTTACAGGGCCCTGTGTGTGGGGGTGACAGGACAAGTGAACTGTCATTAAGTCCAATGGTATTTAGTATTTCGAGTATCTGAGTTATTGTATGTTTCCCTTGTCAATTTTGCTAAGAAACAAAGTTTTGGCATTAGATTTTCAGTGGGTCCATATTTGGAAGTTCACAAAAGATGAGAAGACATGGTTTTAATCCTTGAAACATTTTACAAAGTCCCACTCACAGAAAAGTTGAAACGCACAGTGAACCCTTCACAGTATGTGCCAATTTTTAACATTTTGCCATATTTGCTTTATCTCTGTGTCAGGATTTGACTCTCTCTCCACCCATCTCTATATATAACCCAACACTCTTTTTTTATTAGAGATAAATACTTAGAGATACCAATATTTGGGATAATATACATACAGGACAGCTTCTATTTGTACTATCACAAATATGAAAATTTCTTACTACAGTTGAAGATTTCTTTGTAGTTCTTTTGCCCATAGGGTTGTTCCATTTAGGGTATGGAGTTAAAACTTTTAGAAAATATATGAATTAAGTCTTTATCATTGACGGATGTGTTAGAATTATATGTAGATTTAAAATCATGTATTTCTGTTCCTATTTAGTTTAGGTCATTAAATAGCATTTGGATTTTTTGAATAAACAAAAATGTTCTAAAGTAAAATTTGCATAAATAAGGCATAATCAGTGATTCACAGGATGTTTCATTATTGCATCTGTGGTTTGGGAAAAAAGGAAATGTTTGTTTCCTTGATATCAAACTTGGGAATGCTCTCCCTTTGCCTCCCTCTATATTTTCAGAGGCAACATGGGATGAAGTAAGGCAGAATTTTTGGTGTGGTACATTAAAAATTCATACAAGGAAGATAAATGTATTTTTTAAAAGTAGATTCAAGGTGGTTTGCAAAGTAGAGAAAGATACGTATTAAAGGGTTTGATCCAATTTTATCAAAACATTGACAACTTATAATTTTCAAGAATACAACTAAATATAAACTTAAATGTGTCTAGTCATGTATTATTAAGTTTTGCTATAGGGCCTCCCTGGTGGCACAGCGGTTGAGCGCTGGGTTGTGAAGCTGCCCACAGCCTCTGCAGCACCGGTTCAATCCCCGGCCGCTCCCCGGCCACCTGAGGAGGGTCCCTCATGGCGAGCAGACCTCTCCGGCCACCCGCTGCTCCCCTCAGCAGGGTACTTTGGTCCTTCTGCCTGCTGTGTTCCCCGCTCTGGCTCTGGTGAATTCTCTCACCCTCCCGCGCTTCTGACTGTACCCAGTGCTTGTATAAATAAATAAATAAATCTTTAAAAAAAAAAAAAGTTTTGCTATAACATAGTAACTAGGTAGAATTCGTCTTTTTTACTGTCTCTAGTTATAGAACAATCTAACCTTGACAGGGCACATCTTGTTTGGAATTCTTAGTAAAGGATTTGCTTGTAAAATGAAAACAGTTTCTGTCAGTAATGAATGTTCTGTAATAATTGATTGAGAATAATGAATAATGGACAGTAAGCTAGCACTGCCTCTCAAACATAAAAGCAATGTTTTCCTAAGAAAAAATGACATGTCTGATAGGTCACATATTAGAAATCATAATTAATGCTGCCTTATATGAAATTAAATGCTTGGATAGGCTTTTCTTGGATGAAATATGGAAGCTTCAATTCTTGATTTCTGCAAAGTGGTCTTAATTCCTAATACTCTAATGTCTTCACCTGTAGCATTAAATAGCTATTTCTCCCAGCAGAAGGAAAATTGCAGTTCACTTGCAAGCTGCCAGAATTATTTTCATCAAAAGAGCAAAAGTTTGAAAACAAGAATGCTTGGAATATAAATAAATGATCACAAATCAAATACAACTTAATATATTCACTTTATTGATTGGCACAGATTAATCTCCCAAGCATTTTCTTTTTTTTTCTTTTTTCTTTCTTTATTTTTTGAAAGATTTATTTATTTATACATGCAAGAACTGGGGTATAGGCCATAGCTTTTGGGGGGTGAGAGGATTCACCAGAGACAGGGTAGGGAACAGAACAGGCAGATCGACTGAAATACACTGCTGAGGGGAGCAGCAGGCAAGTCAGGAGAGGTCTGCTGCGCCATGTGGGTCACCTCCCTGGCTGGGGATCGAACTTGTGCCATAGTGGCTGCTGTGAGCTTCATAGGTTGCGTCTTAACCCATTGTGCAACCAGGGAGGCCCTGGATTATCTTTTTTTTTAAATGAATGATTTTATGGCACTGTTTTTTTTTTTTTCCCAGTGATACAAACGGTGCGTGTTATATTGACTTTCTTAAATTCAGTTTTCTCTGGTAATGGGTGCCCTTTAAAAGTTCATGGTGTCCATTTTATCCTTTGTTTTAGATTTGAGTCTAAACCTCCATTCTGTATGTATCCATGTTATCTTCTTTCATGGATTCAAAGGAAGAGACCAGGACATTAAAGTTGATATATGGAAAGCTTGTCAGGATTATCTGTGACTTTCTGAGGCAAGACATCCAAGGAGTGTAGTATATACCAAAAGCACAAAGACATTGGATGAAATAATTATCCATTTCCCATGAAGTATCAGAGCTACTCCACAATATTTATTTACGGCTTTATTTCTACAAGAATATGAATATGACTCATTTTTGGATGAATATGAAAGACATTTTTGAAATTAAAAAAAAAACTTACACTTCAAATTATTAAAATCACTTTTGTGGAAAATATGTGAGAAGCATGCTAAAAATTAGGCAGAGTTCTTTCATTTGTCTCCTGTGTATCTCAGAAAGACAAATAAGATGTGATAAAATCACATGTTGTGAATTGAATGGAACCAAATACTATGTGTGTGTGTCTCTGTTTGTGTGTGTGTATGATTCATATCAAGATCCTTCTCACAAAGAAACACCATATCACCATTGAATCAGTACCAATCATATAAAAATATTCTATCATTATTTAAAGATGACATAAAATGAATTAAGACTACTCTTTCACATAACATCATACATATCAAATAAACAGCAATAAATCTAACAAAATTGTGCAAGAGTACCACATTCAAAAATATTAAAGTCTTGGGGCCTCCCTGGTGGTGCAAATGGTTAAGTTTCAGCACTACGAAGCGATCCACAGCTACTGCAGTATGAGTTCGATCCCCCGCCAGGGTGGTGACCCACATGGTACAGCAGGCCACTCCTGTCTCTCCCACTGCTCCCCTCAGCAGTGTATTTCAGTAAATCCACCGGTTCTGCTCCCTACTCTGTCTCTGGTGAATTATCTTACCCACCCCGTCCCATCTCTGGCCTCCACCCCAGCTATTGTATGCATAAATAAATAAATCTTAAAAAAATATTAAAGCCTCTCTGAGAGAAATTAAAGAAGTCCGAAGTAAATGG